GAAGGGAGAACTGACTTCCACTTGCATTAATAGAAGTGGCTAAATATGTGATTTCCTTGCCTGACCGTGTGTTCACATTCTGAGTATCAACAATAAGCTGCTGACTAAAGTTCTTAGATTAAAAAAACAACAAAAAAAAAAAAAAAAAACAAGAAGGCCAAATCAGGAACTTGTAAAGACTCTGACTGTAATGAGGTGCTTTACAACATGAAAGTGGAAATGAAACATATCACAAGTTTTACCTAAACTGATCAGTCAAATGTCATACGGGAAACAACAGCCAGAAATATTTGTGTTAGGCGGCTTTCCTGTTTTATGTAGCAGCTTTATCAACCTCAGAGTTTTACGGTGCTGGTGATTGTCTCCAAGTTACTGGCAGCAACGTAATAAAAGATGAACAACCAATATGCATTTCTGATGTCCCTCCCATGTAAATTTACTTGCTTATATATAGGCAGTGGGTAGAAACCAAAGACTCTCTAAAGACTGCTGGGCTGAAGACATCCCAATTTGATTATTACTATACACAGTTCACTGTTAAATCTGGACTGATCCAACACTGGACTAATTTAACAGGACGGGTTTGAGCTATGGGTTTATCCCGTACACTAGGTCAACTTTTGCATCAAACAAGAATGCGTAAACGTGACTCATAAACAATCAGAAAAAATGTGCTGAAAGCTGTAACTTTGGGCACAAAAAAAGTATTTGCTGAAAATGTTTTTTTTGTTGTTGTTTTTTTTTTTACTTTTAGTCTAATTTTACATCAAAAATTCCCAGCATTGTAAAAACAAATTAAACAACCACATGACTTTTGAGACTATGTTTAACTGAAAAACACTACATTTTGATAACAAAATTCACATTCCGCATACAACACTGTAAACAGCTGTCACACAGCGTTATTTCACCATATACAGTGTTTTATCACATCCAAAGACTTCAAATTATTTTACTCTACAATCCTTCATCCACAAATTAACACATTATGCTGATGGCGATAAGCTACATTGTAGATACAACTTTCCTGGGGCAGACTGAAAGAAACGCGGCCTCCATTTGGCTCCATTTGGTGAAATGTTTTGCACAAGGAAATGCCGGTTTGAAACAACAAGAATGAAATGGTTTAGATCAAAAATACCATTCACGTTTTAGAATGACCAAGTCTAAACCTCACTGAAAACAGCTGCATGATTTGGAGTTAGCTTAAGAACTGGAACATTACAAACTTGTCAGATTTGCTTTGTGTATTTTCTTGACGTCAAACACAAGATGTAATTTCAAGCATCTTTAGTTTCCTCGGAAGGTTTTTATTTTGAATCCTCAGTTAAGTGCGAGTGCCTCAGTAATAATAAAGACTTCTGACAGGACTGGATAGGTTTACAGTGATGCTTTAGTTTCCTGTTTGATGTTGAAAGAGGTTCTGTTTTCACTGAGCCTTAAAGGTCAGAGTTTAAAGCTGCCCTTTATTCCCTCCTTATTAAATAAGTTTGCATGGGGTGTAATTACACAGCCATGTCCCCTGAGAAGAGACCCTACCTCACCTCAGTGCATGCCTAGCAGGATAGGACATGCTGCGGAATTGTTTTTACTTTGCACAGGTGCAAATAATGTCTGTACTGTTATTAGAGAGCTGCGTTGTCGCCTGTAAATGAAAGATTTAATTTCCAGTTACGCTCTACAGCTGGGTAATAAATACCCAGACTTGACATTTTACACCGTAGTTGCAGATCGGAAAGTTGCATAGATACATTTGTTTATGCACATAAACAAACAGATGTTTGTCACGTAATGCTGCATGAAGAAGTCAGTGAGGCTTTTGTGTTATAAGTGAGCAGCATGTGAGAAAAGCTCAGCTGGGCAATAGGGGAACTGTCACAAATAGCAGAAGTCACAGTTCAACAAACTATAACCTTACTTTGTCTTCATGGCATACGCTGACCCACTGTGAGCTGTACACATGTTCACACACACAATGCACAGGGCGATGAATTTGACAAATTAGAATGCCCTAACTTCAGTTATTCAGAACAAGCAGACCAGAGACCAGAGAGTTAGTATGCACAGTTTTAAATAGCTGCACTTTGGCAATACTTGCTGTATACCAAGTGGAGACTTGTGCTTATGATCACGACTAAAGCAGCAAAGTTAGCTAATCAAATTCCTGCCTGCTTTAATTGTGCAACCTGAATCAACTAACAGATTTATGTGTTGAAGTCAGACGATTTATCACCATTCAGTTTTTTTCTATCCCAGTGAAAATTTCCAAGTGGGGGGAATACAGGCATTGTGCCAGCAAACTAAATTAAGACACAATCTCAAATGAATGATATACCTAACATAAGGTTACGGATTTAGAAATGAAGGTTTTATTCTCTGAGAACCTATTTGAATACCCAGACTTGACATTTTACACCGTAGTTCCAGATCGTAGTTACAGATATGTCACAGCATTGTTTCAAATGACAAACACATTTCGAATAAAAAATAGTATAGCTAGCTTAGGATGTGATACTTTTCGTCTTTTGACCTCTTTAAAAACTCAGAAGTAGAATTTAAATAAGGAAGATTCTAAAACTGACCTTTAGTCTAGAACGTTTGTCTTTTTCTGTGTGCTTAATTAAACTGAAGAGTTTTGCACGAACAGTGTGACTCTGCAGCTCTTTAACCACATCCTGTTTCATACCTATGAAACTTCTGAGCTCCCACAAATTCACAATCAAGCTGTTTTAACAATCAGTGGCACTAGTTCCTCAATGTGAAAAGTTAGGGTAAGAAAAATCTTTATTGTCTGCAATGGTGGCATATTTTGTCAATATAGATGTTAGTGAATTCTCTGCCACTCTGCAGCTTCCTTCAGAAAAACAGACGTTTGACTGCAAGCAGTCAAAACGTTTGTGTTATCTAACGTATAGACAGATACAAATGATTTTCATTAAAAAAATAAAAAAAAAATCAAACACATTTTAATCTGTTTCTTGGCAGAACTTCTCACAAACTAAGCTGCTGTCAAAGTCTCCTTTTCTCTCATGCATGCTTGCTCTATAAGTACACCCCACCTTTAAACCACACAAAGATGCAAACCAATAACATCTCACTTCCCACTCCCTCCTCTCACTTCCTGGCCAAACTTAATGGAGGAAAACTCAAAGCATTTGACCCAAATCATACAGTTAATGGAACAAAATATCAGTGAAATGGATGTGAAATTCCAACTTTATTTAGCAAAGGGTTCTGCGTCACAACTATGGCTAGATTTTGTTAAGAGTCTATATTTTGATTCACGTGTATTATAAATTGTGAGCCTTGTTACCTTGTCAGAAAGTTCGGAGTCAGAGTGTTAGATAAGTTGATTTAGATACTTATTGCTTTGACATAATGGAGAAAGAAACAGGCCAAGTTGTTCTGCCTTGTTTCTTATTTAAAATCAATTTGAAGACTTCTTTTTTTCCATAGGCATCAAAGCATATCTGATTTTTACTATACTCAAAAAAAGTGCCTTAAAGAAGTTTTTTTGACGCAATTGTCCTAGTATTTCAAGAACTAATGTGATCTGTGGGGGGTTTTATAAAACAAAATCAATCCGAAGATCAGAAATCAGCACAGACTCAAAGACGAGTTCTGTCAGTTGTGCAGTTCTGCTGTAACATCACTTCCTCCCACAAAATAGTCAACTGTAGCCTGTTTAGCACTGGCAGGATGGCCTTTGAAAAAAAGCACAGATATGTTCACAAAGCCTGCAAGCCACAGAATACATAAGCAGGTACTTCTTAAAGCGCATTAACATGTAACTTGAACCATCACTTTTATTTCAAAATGCCACCTTTTAAGTTTAAGATTGTCTTAGCACATAATTTTTTGAATGTTTCGAAGTTGAAAAACTGCCTATAAAACACTGCTTGTGTTTAACCTCTTAGCTCTTTTAGATTATTCTAGCCACTCAGTTATTTACATTATAAGGGCCATTTGAGTGGTACCACTGGGATCCTTTTCTCGAAGCACATTATGTATACTGTAAGCTCCCATATGCAAGCCACAGAAGCATCAGTGTTCTTTGTGTTGAGGTTCATTCTGTTACAGAAGCTGCACAGTGTGCTTGTTAGAATGACAGCAGCTGGGATCTTGGCGCACACTGCCAATTTCATCTCAATCAATGCATCGTGTTGTTTCAGAGTCATTTGCATTTCTTTGCATTGGTGTTAGCAGGTTCACACAGGATCGTTGGATGCAGCGTCACGGCAACATTGGCATAAACAGGATGTCTGACTTGTGTACAAATGCTGAAGTTATTAAATCGACAAATGGATAGAGGTACCATCGTCTGACCAAACTACTTAAACAGCCCCTCATGTGTTAACTATACATTTTCAGACTGACCTTTTCCTGTGGGGAAAGAAGCATGTTCCATTTTCTTAGAGCCCATTCTTTCACAGCCGTTAGTGACTACACAAAGAGCATGATGTAATCTCCCCATGTATCGATTCTTCAGTATGCAAAATGAGGCCAAGTAGCATTTTCAGCCTTCAGTGATAGATCTGGTGAATGCTAGTTAAAGACCCAAGAGCAACTTTAGTCACATGCCTACAGTTTAATTTAACCCTGGTGCAATTTTCACTTAAATGCACAGAAAAATTCATAGTAAATTTTAGGTTTCCAGAGAGACAAGCCAATTGGTTTGAATTTGAGAAGGTCACTGGGCTTGTTAAGGAACCTCACCATAGAAATGAAGTTCAGAGTTCTCACTGCTGCAGTTGGTCAACTTTACCTTTCCATACAGCATTGCAGACCATTTTCAACCCTTCCCACAGAGCAGTCAGGTTTGGCTTTTGGAAAAGCCAAAATGTTTAATGTGACTTTTAGTAGCAGCAGATTCCCCAGTCTTCAAGTTGAACACCTCAGTAAATGCTGCCAATATTTCAGTCTGTAGAAAGTTTACACATCAGGATTTTCATTGAAATCCAGTTTGGGACATTGCCATGCAAACAAGCCTGTACACCACATTTATTCAAGTTTGTTTTATTTTAAATATTGAAACATGTGCATGCCAAAGTTTACAAGATATGCCTTGCTTAGTGAGCATTCAGAATTGGCCAAAAAAAAAAAGAAAATGATAAGGACAAGTCCATCATGCAATCATTCCACAGCAGGGATTCAAGGGACTGATCCCTGTGCTAAAGGGAAGCCACTTGCTTTACATCTGGTAGAATTTGTAGACATTGCTATGGATTAGCAAGTACAGACAAAAATGCATCTGTGAAGTGGTTCAAGTCAGCAGCACTTGTGGAATGTGCAACACATGGGAGACTGGTCTTCATGACTCTGTCGTCTTCTCCTGTTCAATGGCTGGAACAGAGTAAAGACTTGGGGTTAACCTCAGAACCAAAACGCATGCATTAAAGTTACTTAGAGTAGAACTTACTCTCTTTAGTTGGCAGCGTGTTCTTCTCTTGTGTTTCGGTCTTCTTCAACTTGGTTTTGTCAAAGGTTGTAACCTCAGTGATGTCAGGTTTGTCAGACATGATTGCAAAAGCACTAAACAGAACACAGTAACCATTTTAGTAATTAAATCAGAAACCTCCGAGCACAGCTACACCCTGGTTAGCAACCAAAGTTTGACAATTTTACAGTTCAACACACCTGACTTAAGCAGCTACTCATTTGACATGGCTTCAGTCACAATACCAGACAGAAGCAATCGTTTTAAAATATATACATATATGATTTTAAAAAGAAAATTTTACACACAATACCACAAACAAAAAAAACAAAAAAAAAGGAGGTTACTTACCAAGTGTGTAGGCACAGTAGATACACCGAACAAAAGCCTCAAAGTCACAGGAGCAGAGTAAGAATGAGCGGCTCATTCATTCAATAAATACTGCCCAGTATGTTAATAACCTCTGACGTCACGCCTACCCTGCGTTTGTCAACCAACCATATTTTTTGGTTTTAAATATATTATTTAGGATGATTTGAAGCAAATGACTAACATATCCATATCGTAACATAAGCTCAGATAAATAAGCAGTGCCTTTTTTGACGTAAAAAAAAAAAAAGAGTATTAATTTAGCACCACAAGCTGCGTCCCATTACGTGATTAAAAGTCCGGTGAGTTGAGCTTCTCTAGACGTCACGAAGTTGTGCAAATTGTAGTCGTAGTTCTAGATGTTTCTTCACGCAGAAGACAAAAGACACCATGAAGAAGTCTAATGAAAGAATTTAAGGCCAGGATGGCAGGTTTTTTTATAATTTTACCACTTGTGACCCCATGTGGACTAATGCGATAATGCAGCTACGACATACATAAGCTGTGCAAAAATGCGAAGCACGTAGTTAATAACCTAAATATTTTAAGATCAGCTTGTGAATAAATATTTTAAACGGACACTGATGATGAAATTTTATTTATAATTTATTTAAGACATTTGTAATCAAAGATTCTGAAATCTTCTGGCAACATTTAAATCAACACAAACTTATAAGTCTCCCATCGTTTCATGTTTTTTTTTTTTTTTTGTTTACTCATAAGATTTAAACGCTGCTTACAATTTAGAGATTATTATCAACCTACTGTAGACCCACAGTTTCATAGTCCCAAAAATATAAAAGCAATTAAATAAACATTTGTATTTTTATGTGTCAAACATAACTTGAAATAGACATGTTCAATAGACAAAGATCAGTCTTTTTAGCATATTGATTAGATATCAGAAAAACATAAAATTAAGTTCAAATTTATTCTTTCAGCTTTTTTATATTGCAGACCAAAGACCATGAGCAAAACTTATACAATGCAGACCTAAAGTACAACTCAACCCTGACAAACCTATTAACCCCAGTCTGATATTTCACATGTCAATGACTTAATACAATTCTTGCTTTCCTAGAACAGAAAACATCCAATTTCAAAAATGAAAAGAATTTGACTGCGTGGTTTGATAACTAGGATGAGCCAAAGTATAACATCTTAAATTGTTTTCATGTCATGACAGCCTGCAGAACATGAACAATGGAAAAACAAAATATACAGAAACAATTTTAGGTCACTTTTAATGTGAAGTAAACTTAGTCAGTGATTACGTGTTTGTTTATTTCTTGATATGAAATACTTATTGCCTTTGACAGCCACCCTCTTTAACTTACATGTGAAAACATGGTCATGTACAGTACTATCTCCACTTTATTACTTCAAAAGGGCAGGATCAAAGTTGCTAAGTATCACAGTCGCAAGGACATATATACATACCAAATAATGACATGTTTAAATGCTTAAACAATTACTAGGTTATTCTCAAGAATTATTATCTTTATCCCTACTTGCTGCTGAAAAACTTTTTATAAGTTTTGCTGTACATAATTTGATTATCCACTTTTACAACACTTCTCAAGTTCTGCCAGAACCAGGGCTCAGCAGCTGCAGTTCTGGGCCACTCCACAACACTTTTCTCACAAAGCCTCCTCCTGAGGCGCAGGAAGTGAGAATGTTGCAGGACAGGTTCGAGCATCAGCAGAACAATCACATCCACATTTTCATCCAGCAGTCTTTGGTGGGCCAGATACATTGCCAGTCTGAACACCCCAGTCTTAACGTAGCCCTCTGTCAAGACAAACAGGGTTTTGCGACTGTTTTGGATGCTCTGTGTAAGGTTATCCACTAGAGGGACTCCTAGAGGCCAGTCTCTCTCCTCCAAGCACAAAGGAAGAAGCTTATCGCCCTCTTCTTCCAATTTCACCCGCAGATTCATCATTACCCACTCAGTGACACGTGGATCCTTGGTGTCATAAGTCACAAAGATGTCGTAAATATTTTCCTGTGAGGACAAGGCTCTGTATCCCTTCAGTCTAGCCTTGACGTAGTGCAAGACATAAGAAGCATCCCAGTAAAATAAGTGAGCAACTGTTGCCACAAACATAAAGGAAATAAGGAAGAATGTTGTGAGAACGTACATCTTGAACGCCATATCGTCATTTACACATTGATCAATGTCAAAGTATATAAGTGGCTTGTTCTTGTCCTTTAATGGCATTTTACATCTCACCTCAGTTGTCAATCTAGGAATCCTTATTTCTCGTTTTCCAATCCATACAAGGAAATCCAAAGAATCACATGTACATTGAAATGGATTTTTCTGTAAAAATAAAGTCTTAAGATTCTCCGGTCTGGGCTCGAAGGTGGTTTGATTGATGATAGCCAGCTTGTTGGAGCCGAGGCTGAGAGTCTCAAGGCTTTTCATGCCTTTGAAATAGAAACTTTCCAGGTGACATATCTGATTGTGAGTCAGATAAAGAAAAGTCAAAGAGAAACTAGTAACTGTTTCAATACCTGCTATGTTGGACAACGAATTGTAACTTAAGTCTAAAATGTTAAGCCGATGGAAATAAGACAGACTGTCCCATGAAAAATCTGTCATTTTGTTATTATTTATTCGTAGTTCAGTTAGGTTGCGAGGGAGCTTTTCATAAACATCATCAGGAATTTTTTCAAGGTCGTTCCACGAAATATCCAAAACTGTCAAATTAATCAGGTTGGTAAAAAGAGTCTTATATGAGTCATCACCTACTTTCCAAAGAGTTCCAAGCTTGTTATGTGTAAATTGTAGTTCTGCTAAAGATCTGCTGTGCATCTGCTTTGTTGTTAAAGTGGAAATTGAGTTATGACTCATATTCAGCACTCTCAGGATAGGCAAATTTTTTAGGAAGTTTAAATTATGTGTTACTCCAAAAGATTTAAAGTAGTGGGCATTCCAACTGAGATCTAGCACTTCGAGTTTCTTCAGTTCCTGGAAGGCATTGTCATAAGCCAGATCAATCTTATTGAAGGACAGGTCCAAGTAGGTCAAATTAGGCAGTAATGAGAACTCTGTGCCATTTGGTGCAGCAGAGAATCCATTGCTGGATAGATTCAGACACGCAATATCTCCATAACCTTCAAATTGCTTTTGTGAGATGAAGAACAAGTTATTTGAACTGAGGACAAGAACCCGTCCAGAGTTAAAGCACTGTTGCTTTATAAGGCCATGGGATAATTCAAAGGTGAAGTCTTTTGGAGGAAGTTTAAAATAGGAAGAAACAGTGATGTCTGACCTTTGAACATATCTCCCTACTGAATTTGAAAGCTGTCTCTGTGGAGTGGGATACAGCCTGTTTTCTGCCAAATAAATCATTTTCAATGGATGAAATTTGTTGAAAACGGTGGAATCAGCCTGAATAATAAAGTTAGTCCCCAAATTCAAAGCAGATAGATTTCGAATTTCATAGAGAGGCTTGAGCGTATCTGGTTGAATATTCTGGAAGACCAAACCCTCCATATGCAAAGTCCTTAATGACTTAAGATTTGAAAACTCAGTTGAAAGATTAATTGTGTTAGGATAACTTTTTAAAGCATAGTTGAAAGAAAATTCAAGCACTTCAAGCCTTGGGAGGTATCGCAGAAATTCAGCCCTTCCAGTAACTTCTCTGAGCAAAAAGTTAAATGAAAGGAGAAGATGTTTAAGCTTCCTCAGGTTCTTAAACCACGATGGATTCAGATACTCTAAGGAGTTTCCCCCCATATTGATTTCCTCAAGTTCAGACAGATTTTCAAATGCATCAGGGTCAATTCCAAGGGAACCATTAGGGCAAGGCACACAGGGAAATGGTGCATTTTCACATCTGGGGCAGTTCCCTTGTATCTTAAGAAGTTTTAAATTATTCAAGCCAGATAAATCCTCCCTAAATATGTACTGTATTTTGTTGCAACTCACATTAAGCACTTCTAAAGACTGGGGTAGTCCTTTGGGAACATTACTTAAGTTGTTGTAAGACAAATCCAGATTTTTCAATTTGGTCATGTGGGTAAAACTGTTATTTTGGATTTTCACTGGTTTGCCACACGGATTCCAGTAGTAACAGTTCTTGGATAACCACAGTTGTGTCAGGTTTCGTAAGTTGGCAAAGTTCGTTTGATTCACATTTGTAATGTTGTTGCTGCTCAGCTCAAGGATTTCCACACTGGCAGGTAGGTAGCTTGGAATTTCTTCGAGGCCATTGGCACTCATTTTCAAATCCTGCAGTTTTGTTAGGTTTCTAAGGCTTCCCTTGAAGACCACTTTCTTGTACATGTTTGCCAAGTTGAGATTGAGAGAAGTCAGATTCAGCAGTTTGGAAAATGCATCAGCCTTAATGGTCTTCAGGTAATTTTTTGATAAATCAAGAGCAGTAACATTAGTGGTTATCCCACTAGGTACCCATTCTAGGGCGCGGCCACTGCAGTCAAATTGGACCTCAGAGGAATTGGAGGTTGTCACATCACAGAGAAACTGCGCTGTCCAATGAAGTTTACAGGCAGCAGGCTGGATCTCCAGATGGCAGCACAGACCAAGGAGAAGCAGATAAATCCAACACTTTGCAGTCTGAAATGAATAACAAAGTCAATCAGATGATGGAATTAAAGCAGGTTATGAGACCTTTATGCAATATGTTAAACTGAAGAGATAGACTCCTATCTCTTCAGATAGGAGTCTATATGAAGACTCCTATCTGAGTCTTCAGATAGACTCAGATAGTCTATCTGAAGTGATGAACTTCCCAGTTTTTATTTATTTCCACCCTTTTTAGTAGTAGTGAGAAATAAACTACACAGGTACATGTCAATAAATTAGGACACAATTAAGAAATTGATAAATTTCAGCAATTAATAAAAATTTCAAACATAAGTAGATTCGTGGGAAGAATGTCTGCAATTAAAATGATGATCCACCCTAAACTAAATTAGACATTAACATTTAAAGACGATTTGTCTTTAAATGTTATTTTTTTAGAAGATTCATATGGATCTAATGAAAACAAATAATTTGAATATAACTAAGAAAAGTCTATTATCCTGTCCAAAAGTAGTTACAGCTATTAAATCTGTTGTTAACATGGTGTAACGTGTTTTTCCGAGCCGTCCATAAACATATCATGAACGTCAACATAACGTCAGTTTGAACCTGTGTCCGTTAGGCGCGCGAGTTTTGCTGCTGAGAAGAGGAGGAAGCCGTGGTTTGTTTATCATTGCAGCAAACCAGCCAGAACTAGCAAAAGGCAAACAACTTTTCACATTTCTTTCCAAACAAACCGAGTAAGTTGAGTAATGCTGTTGGATGCACATTATGATAGCTAAATGATTCCTATATCCATAGACTATATCCGTATATGCATGGCTATATGTCATGTTAAGAATGTTAAAGGTGCAAAATGTCATGTTTTTTTTTGACTATACGCTATATATAGTATATAGTTTGTAAAAACTATACACTATATATATATATATATATATATATATATATATATATATATATATATATATATATATATATATAGTAAAATATGTATACTCTCTTGATATACATCTATAAACAGTTTGGTTTCTGTCAAGATGCAAGAGAGTACTAAGCAAATTGCTCTTTTATATTGGTCAATATTTAATATTACATAATTCCCGCCTTTAAAATTAGTTTGTCAAAATGTAACAAACCATGACTCATATATTTGTATATATATGAGACATATGAAATATGCAATCCTATTTGATGATATATATTTAACAAAAGAGGTAATTAGCATAGTTTTTGTCATTTATTAAAGGTTTAAAAATTACATCAGTGTGCCACAGCAAATAAATAATAAGCTGATAAACAGGTGTAAAACAACTTTAAACCGTTTATATTCTGCTTTTCCTCGCTCTCTGTGATAGCACGCAGACCTGTTGCCATGGCAACCGACACAACATCTCCGTTAACCTGCAGAGCAGAGAGTAACGTATTGACCAGAACGCCCTGCACTGCAGTTAGCTTCCTGCTTTTGGAGCGGTCTCCGATCCGCTTGCATTCACACTGTCTTTCAACCGCATCAGAGTTCACTTCAGCCGGACTGTGACCTTGGTTCAGAATTCGCCTTTTTAAACCGTTTTGAAATTCAAATTTGCATTCACACTCCCCAAACAAATTGGACTATTTGAACAAACAAATTAGAGTCTGATTAGAGCGGACTAAATGGGGCTAGTGTGAATACACCATGTGGGTTTTTAGTCATTACTTATTGTTTAAATGACCTCAGGTGAGATGAGAAGAATCACTGTAAAAACTGTAAGCATCCTTGGATGCTAAAACACGAGCACTGTGAACTAACTCATTTAAGTCAAATAAAATCAAATATTTACAAAAACTAAACTCGACTACAGTTCATAAATTGTGGTTCATTTCTCTGACTTGCCAAACATGTTTTGAACCAAGAACGTTTACGACTTGCATGATAAGACCCAGCTGCTGAGTGTTGCTCCCCAAAAGCCCTAAGATTTCAACTGTGAAAAATTCTTTATGTCTCAGTTTATACGTGCTACATTTGTTCTAGAACAAACACTCTAAAAGGTAAAAATACTTAGCAATAAAACATAAGAGCAGGTTCATGTCTTACTCTTGTAATCAATTAGGAATTAACACAAAAACAGTGTCATTAATAACATGTTTGACACATTTTTCTGTCACAAAAATAAGTGTTGTAGAAGGTTGTGTTAGTAAAACTCACCATTTTGCATGATCCTTTAAGACCTCTAAACTGCTTCCTGCATTTGTCCAAGAAAAAGTTTAAATGGGATATAAAATGTGCGAATAAGACATATTTTCATACTCCTGATGATTTTTTAAATCCGCATGTTATGAAAAAAATAATCCTGCCTACTGAAGTCAGATATAAAAGCGACAAACTGTTTCACAGGATGTAGGAGAAGAGTAGCCTGTCAATTGCAGAAGTAACTGTAAAACAGTTTCATTTCCTTGTTCGCAGTTCTACAGATACGCCAGCCAAAATCAACATCAGAAATATTTCGCAAAAAATATGAATCAGTTTTGTAGCAATGCAGATAATTAGACAACCGTAGCTATTCAGGGAAGTGCATTCAGAGCTATTAATATGACAGAACGATTAATGTGTATGTATTGTGGTTTCTTTTTACAGAACTAACCCAGCTATTGGACCGTTGGACTCAAAAGGCCAATTACAACCTGTAAGAGTCCTTAGGTGAGTCTCATCTGATAAATTGTTTCACTCACTAAAGTTCATGTTAAGCTAAAGATTATTCAGTTAAAATGAGTATCTGCTTAGAGAAGCTTTGAATGGATCAAAGCTTCTTTGTTTTCTATAAGAAGTTTGTTTTTTAGAAAACAAGGAACATTATTCCCTTAGAGGAAACAGCACCGCTCCATGCTGGACCGAAACATTTCGCATCCTACGACATGGTGTTGAAGTAACGAGCTTTTAAACTTATGACCATGTCTAATGTGCTGATCCAGTAAGGAGGAGCCACACAAGGAAGATGGTATGACAATGAGGATCATGTGTTGTCAAGGGATGTAAACCTTGGCAAAACATTATGAAGCACTTTACAGAGATACAAATAGAAAACATTAAAGCCAATACCTTTACATTTTGAAAAGTGCTTCACAAAATGAAACAAATGATAAAAATTGTGGAAACATGAATAAAAAACCCCACTTGAAACTGCAAGGTAAAAGCAAGTGTGAAATTATGAAGACAATAAAACATCGAACATATTTGTCAAAGTCCAACAACTATCACTGCTCATTAATATTTATTAGATTGTCTTAAACAGTTTTGTCTTCCTTCTTTCTTTGTGCTTAAGACTTTTGTATAAGTCTTACTGTTTTAAGAGTGTTTCATCCACTCTTAAAACATTTTTAAGGTTCTGCCGGAACCAGGGCTCAGCAGCTGCAGTTCTGGGCCACTCCACAACACTTTTCTCACAAAGCCTCCTACTGAGAATGAGAGTGAGAATGTTGCAGGACAGGTTCGAGCATCAGCAGAACAATCACATCCACATTTTCATCCAGCAGTTTTTGGTGGGCCAGATACATTGCCAGTCTGAACACCCCAGTCTTAACGTAGCCCTCTGTCAAGACAAACAGGGTTTTGTAACTGTACACTGTTTCAATACCTGCTATGTTGGACAACGAATTGTAACTTAAGTCTAAAATTTTAAGCCGATGGAAATAAGACAGACTGTCCCATGAAAAATCTGTCATTTTGTTATTACTTATTCGTAGTTCAGTTAGGTTGCGAGGGAGCTTTTCATAAACATCATCAGGAATTTTTTCATTGTCGTTCCACGAAATATCCAAAACTGTCAAATTAGTCAGGTTGGTAAAAAGAGTCTTATATGAGTCATCACCTACTTTCCAAAGAGTTCCAAGCTTGTTATGTGTAAATTGTAGTTCTGCTAAAGATCTGCTGTGCATCTGCTTTCTTGTTAAAGTGGAAATTGAGTTATGACTCATATTCAGCACTCTCAGGATAGGCACATGTTTTAGGAAGTTTAAATTATGTGTTACTCCAAAAGATTTAAAGTAGTGGGCATTCCAAATGAGGTCTAGCACTTCGAGTTTCTTCAGTTCCTGGAAGGCATTGTCATAAGCCAGATCAATCTTATTGAAGGACAGGGCCAAGTAGGTCAAATTAGGCAGTAATGAGAACTCTGTGCCATTTGGTGCAGCAGAGAATCCATTGCTGGATAGATTCAGACACGCAATATCTCCATAACCTTCAAATTGCTTTTGTGAGATGAACAAGTTAAAGCACTGTTCCTTATCAGACAACTCAAAGATCAAGTGTTTTGAAGGAGGTTTTATGTATGAAGAAATAGAGATGTCTGACCTCTGAATGTATCTATACCTACTTTTATCTTTATTTAATCTTCATATACCTACTGAATTTGAAAGCTGTTTCTGCGGAGTGGGATACATGCTGTTTTCTGACAGATAACTCTTAAGAAGTTAAGCTTTCTGAATACAGCTGAATGAACTATGAATTTAGTCCCCAAATTCAAAGTAATAGTGATCTTTAAATGTGTTTGAACCAACATTCCGAAAAATCCATCAAAGCCCCCAAATGTAACTTTTTTAATGACTGAAGATTTGAAAACTCGGTTGAAATATTAATGATTTTGGGATAAATTTTTATAGCATAGTTGTAGGAAAAGGCAAGCAGTTCAAGCCTTGGGAGGTATAGCAGAAATTCAGCCTTCCCAGTAACTTCATAGAGTAAAAAGGTAAGTGAAAGGGGCAAATGTTTAAGCTTCCTCAGGTTCTCTTTTGAGAACCATATATGTACCTGTCAAGTCAGATTTAACTTTAAAAACAAATGACATTTTTGGTGATGTGTTGTCAAATTTTCCTAACCCGGGAAAGTAAAAAGCATGGTGACACTCCCCCTACACAGCCTCCTGTAGGAACAAACTATGACTGGCTCCTAGAATGTCATTGATAATTTAGTTTTGGAAGAAAACATGTATTTAAAAGCTCTTAAAAGCTAAGAATGGTTTAAGTATTTGAAGCACAGATTATTTATTTGTTCTTACTTTTTGAACTATTGGACTTGAACTTTACATCAGACAGTGTCTAATCCGAAATGATATTGCCAGAAACATGAAAATTTCTTCTTACAGGAATACATTTTATTTATACTAATTCATTATGTAATTTAAATGTCAGCTGTTTGTATGTTTTTAACTCATGGTAATGAAAATAATATCTCACTTAAAATGTAAAGTTCACTCTATTTTTCACAAGTCAATTTCAATTTATTTTTGTTTAGTAAATGATAACTAGGCAAAATCTACATTGTTTGGGTTTTGAAGACCTGGGAGCTGATTGGGAAAATTATATGACCTGGCATAGGCAAAATTATAAATTTATCAAAGAAATGTAAATGATAAAGATCCTTTATCTTTACTGCTGCTACTTTTAAACACAGTTAAAAACAAACGCATGCATTTGTCAGAATTAAATGTTTATTGTCATTGTCCTAATGGCATATTGATGAATACAATAAAATGTAATTTGAACATCTCAATACTTCTAAGGGTTGGATTTTCAAAGTACACACACTGAGCCAGAGCTTGTGATAAATTATTTTACAGTAGTGGGTATATTGTTGTATGATTTAAGTAGTTTTAACTCAACTCAACTTTAACACAGGGACATATAATGAAACAACTGTTCAAAAACACATCAAATTATTAAATCTAAGAATTACCCTAAAATAAAAGTAATGGTTAGCATAATTAAAGAGACAAAAAAAATTGTTTCTTTCACATATGAAGATACAAAGAAAATTGTAGTAGTAAAACTCACCATGGTACAGGTTAGGTTGAACCCAGCTATTCAAAGAATATTCAAAGCTACTGATTCCAGGACATTAAAGCCTTCCAGATCTAAAAGGGATCTGACAAAGCAGCAATCCCTTTACACCAGCCAAAACTACTGACTACCTTTTCTTGCCCTGTATTTCAGTATTGCTCTATTAAAAGAAAAAGCAATAAAGCTGTAAGCTGAATTGTATGCCCAGAAAGACTGCATGTGTTAGAAAAGCCACATGCAAATTACAGAAGTAGCTGTACTTAGTCATTTCCTTATTTGCAACCATATTAAATAAAGACAATCTTAAAATAATTTGTGGTATTAGCATAAAGCTGTGGTTCCTTTTTCCAGTAATGAAACCAAATAGCACAAACTTTAAGATTGTGTGTGTGTGTGTGTGTGTGTGTGTATATATACTAGAAAAGATGTTCTGGAGCAACATTGCTTCTTGGTATCTTACTGTAGGAAAGCCTTTTTGTTTTCTCATGCATGGTGTCATAAATATGAAGAAAATGCATGGTTGCTTGGATGTGCTTTTCATACCAGAGAGTCCAGTGCAACCACCTTTACTGACTTGTAACAAGCGCTGGTTGAAGAAAGGAATGCCAAAATAGAGTGTGACCAAGCTGGTGATCAGCGTGAGGGCAACATACCAGGTTGTTGTAGCTGTGAATGGCTTTCCAGCACTTTCCTGAAACCTCAATTTGTTAAAGGAAAAATTACTATATTAATTACTGATATCTCTTGTTTCTTCAAACTTCTATTCTTCAATCCAATAAATGACACCAAACAAGAGTCAACAGCAGAAAGGCATTGTTAATTGGCAGACATCATAATTGTAATTGGAAGCATTGTTGCAGAGAAGAAATAACTGATAAAACACAAATTGTCTTATTTTTTACAAACTCTATATTGCCACCCCTTCAGAGTGTCTCTTTAAAGAGATTGCTGTACTGTTTGTGGCTCTCAGTAGCCAATACACTCCTGAGACTAAACCAGAAGTATGGTTGTGCCTGCGGGTTTGTTGGCCACTCGAGCACAGACCGCTTGTACAGTCGCTTTCTTAAGCGCAGATATTTTGAGTTACAAGATACTTTTTCCAAAAAAATCAGTACTATGACGTCATTTTTTTCATCCATCAGTCTTTGATGGGCCATATAGAAGGCTGTCCTGAAATTACCCCCCTGGATGTATTTTTTGGTGAGAATGAACACAGTCCTCTTGCTCTTGTGGATGCTCTGGGAGAGGTTGTCAATCAGGGGACAACCGGGGACCCAGTCTCGCTCCTCCAGACACAGTGTCAATCGGCGGTCTCCCCGCTCCTCCAGATGATGACACATCTCCTTCATCACCCACTCTGACACAGCAGGATCATTTTTGTCAAACATCACAAAGGCGTCATAGACATCACTTTGAGAAGACAGGCGGCTGTAGCCCTTGAGTTTAGCCCTGCAGAAGTGATAAATGTACCAGACATCCCACAGGTAGAGGTGACTAGCGATGGACAGAGTAATGAAGCCAAGAAGGAGTGAAGTCATGAGAGTGTAGAGGATGATTGATAGGAAGGAGTGCTGGCAGGCTTGTAAGTCCACTGAGACCACAAGATGACCTTTTTGCACTCCTGGCGAAGCACAGGTAACGTCAATTCCTAGTCGAGGGATGGTCACCGTGGTCTTGTTTAGCCAAGTGATGAACCAAGAGGCATTACAGGTGCAAAGGAAACTGTTTTTGTGCAGAAGCAACTTCTCCATCTTCTTAACAACATTATCTGGAAAGCTAGATTGCTCAATATGCTTTATAAGATTGAAGCTAAGATCTAGATATTTTAAACTAAGAGCTTCCTGGAGGAAATTTGGTGTGAGTTTTAGGATTTTGTTGTCATGTAAAACAAGTTTTTCAAGTGATGTGGTACAGTTTGACAGCACTCTTGGAACAGAGGTTAGGTAATTTCCACTAAGGTCCAAGACTTTCAGAGATCTCAGAAGTTGTAGTTCCCCCCATGCAAAAAAGTACAGTTTGTTCTTTTTAATGTGGAGCTCAGTCAGGTTGTCTGGCAGACCACTGAAGACTTCTCTTCGAACTGAACGAAGGTTATTGGAAGAAATGTCTAGTAGTTTCAGATTACGTAATTTTTTGAAATAGTGGATATATCTTGTGTCCCCATCTCTCCACAGCATATCCAACCTGTTGCCTCTGAACTCCAGCTTCTCTAAAGAGTCACTTTCCATTTCTGTGTTGGTGGAAGTAGAAATCTTGTTGTGATTCATGAGCAGTATCTTGAGTTTTTTTAAATTCTTAGTGAAATTAAGCATATGAGTCAAGCCCTCTGATTCAAAATAATGGTTATTTTTACTTATATCCAAGATGACCAGATTGCTTAGCTCTTTAAAAGCAGTTGAGTACAACAGGTCCAGGCGATTTGATGAGAAGTCCAGGTACTGTAAATTAGTCAGGTTGCTAAACTCAGATCCGTTCAGGCTTTGGCTCATTGCGTTTCCTGAAAGATTGAGACATCTCAACTCCTTCAGGTTTAAAAACCTTGAATGCAAGAAAAATATGTTGTTTCTGCTCACATCCAAGGTTTTACCAAAGTCGCTGCATTCCTTCTTGACAAATAATGTAACGATTCCAAGTTCCTTATCTTTGTATTTGCAGCTGCGAGCATATTCATCGTATCTGAAGTAATGAATCTCTCTCACTTCCTTGTTCTGGAACTGATCAGCTGCTGACATGGGGGACCACAGCATAGGCTCTCCCCCGTTGAAACCAAACGCAGTTTGAGCGTCAGAGGGAGATGATATTTTATTGTCAGACAAACTGATTATATGAAAGCTTTTTAACTCCATTAAAATGCTGAGGTTTGCCATTTTGATAAAGTTTGTGCCGAGGTCTAGAACTGTCAGATTTGGAAGACGTTTTAAGGGAGCAATGCTTTCTGGCTTTAGTTGCTGAAACACATAGCCCTTTAGTCTGAGAATTTCAAGAGACATGAGGGAGGAGAAACTGGAGTTCAGTCTAAGAGTTTGAGGATACCTCTGGAGCTCATAGTTAAAAGACAAGTCTAGTTCTTCTAGCTTGCCAAGAAACTTAGGGAAGTCTGTGGTCCCAATATCTCTGGCTAAAAAGTTTGATGAGAGATCAAGCACTCTCAGATCCTTTGTGCTACTGAACCATTCAGGTAATATACATGTCAGGGAGTTACTGTGCAAACGTAACGTTTTTAGTTTTGTCAACATTTTAAAAGCTCCCTTACTTATTTTTAGGGGTGCGTTTTTTGGGCATGGGGTGCATGGGAAAGGGGCATTGTAGCATCGAGGGCAATTTCCACTAATATCTAAAATCTCAAGGTTTGTCAAGTTTTTAAAATCCTCATCAGAGACCTCTTGGATGTTGTTATTGTATAGATACAGCTGTCTTAAACTTACAGGCAACCTATAGGGAATAAAGGATAAGTTGTTTGATTTAAGGGACAGCAATGTTAGGTTTTCCAATTGTAAGAATGCACCATCTTCTATGTCATAGGAAACATTGCAGGGGTTGCGATAGTAGCAGTTTTGTCCCAGGTAGAGCACCTGAACATTTTGGATTTCGGAAAGATTTTCCTTAGAAATATAAAAAATATGATTCACTTCTAAACTCAGAAGGACAAGGTTTGAAGGTAAGCCTTTAGGAATGCTATCAAGCTGATTCCCATCTAGATACAGTGCCCGTAGATTCCTTAGTGCAGTAAATGTATCCTCCGCAATTGTCACACTTTTTGTGCACATGTTGTCCTTCGGACCAATTTTGATGGGTACGCAGTTGCACCTCATGTCAATCTCTGTGAGGTTGTCCAGACCACGAAACGAGGTTGAGTTCAAATTTGGGATATGGTTGATGGTCAGAGTCAGATTGGTAGTCTCTCCTGGGATGGCTTTGGGGACGAACTTGAGGCTTCTTTCAGTGCAGTCCACTTTCACCGTAGTCCCATTTTTGTCCTTGCTAACATCGCATGGCAGAGTTTTTGGGTAGGAGATGGCACTTGTTGTTTGAATGCAAAAACCCAGGCCCAGCAGGGCCCCACACATCTGCATAAAAACAGGTGACTTTATGAAAAACATGCACAGTGCTAAATATACATGACTATTTCAAATAAGTCCAATTTAACATATTCTCCTTTACAATGCAGTAAAACCACAAATGGTACATTTTCAACATTTTGTATTTAGTGGTTTACATTTTAACTGAAAACTTAATATTTAAGCTCATAGAGTTTGCTATGCAGATTCTGATATATTTCAGTCATTTGTTTCTGTTATTTTAGATTGCAGATTACAGTTGATGCAAAAATATAGTCACTCACAAAAGATTAGAAACGACCAATAAAATAATAGTCTGCTGACAAGTTCATCCATATACTGCACAGTATACCTATTTAGGGCTTCTGCATGACATAAATACTGCATGAGATGGAGGCTTTCAGCCTGTGGCTCTGCTGAGGTGTTCTCAAAGCCCAGGCTGCTTTATTAGCCACCTTTATTTTGTTTGCTTTGTTGGTTCTTAAGTCTCTCGTCTTCCACTATAACACTTGATCCAGCCACAGTTCATGACTTGCCAAACTCCTCTAGACTCATAGTTTTTTCTTCACAATCCCTTCCAGGCTGCAGTTACAACTATTGCTTTTGAATCTTTTTCTAACACAATTTTTCCTTCCACTCACCTTTCCGTAAATATTCTTGGATACATAGCTGTTTGACAAGCCAACTTCTTTAGAATTTTTTTTTTACCTAGTAGTTATGTCAACTGGGTTCTACATGATTGTGTGTAAAATGTCTAGTTTTATACGAATTTGATATTTCCAGCTGTAAGCCATAGTAATCAACATTAACAGAAATAAATGCTTAAAATATATCACTTTGTGATAAATTACTCAAATAACATTTTTAATGAAATTCTATTGTATCATGAATATATAAGAAGTGACGTATGTCTCACTTACCAGGTGGAGAAACATATTTTTGTAGGAGTATACAAATGTGGCTTGCTGCTGCTGTCAACACAAGAAGAATGCTGAAAGAGGTGGACTGCAATCAGCACTATAGTAATAACATGAAAGTAACAGGTGGCTATGTAAACCTATTGTGTGTGTAATTTGACAGCATCACTTCCCTATTGTTTTAAACCTCACATGTCAAAAATGTTATTCTTGTACTTTTTTTTTATTGTGGTGACTTTGTTTGTCTTTGTTTTGTAGGCAAATGCTGAGTGAGAGGATTTCATTTAGTTGTAATATAGAGATAAAGTTTTAGACATTTTCTCCAACTACAAAGTATAGTGTGGAGAAAATGTCCAACTACACAGTTAAATAACTAAATGGTTTCATTTCTCTGAAAGTTGATGGGGGGGAAAGTGAAATTGATAGGATTTGGGTTTGAAAATTTACATTGTAAATGTTGCTCAGAATCTTTTTTCGGCCATCTGTGGCTCATTTGTGGCTTCATGGCTGAACGCCCTACACCCTCACATGTTCACATAGCGTACATGTTAGTTCCTTCAGCCACTGGACAAAACTGAAAAATCTCACTGTTTGCCATCATAGAATTCACAATCAGTGGTTAAACAGATATGGACAGACATTTTCACTTATTTATTTAATAGATTTTGGGCTAACTCCAATGTTTTTTTCTGCATCTGATAAGATGGCCAAATCCAATGTTAGAAAGATACGTTGCTTTCAAATGTATTCTGATTATTGTAGATAGGAATGCATGTAGCATTATATTTTTTTAAATAAATACAGCAGTTAAAATGTTCTACTATTTTTCAGGAAACAAAATCATAGCACAAATTTCTTTCCCATTACGTTTCAATTTGTGTATGTCAAACATTCTCCTGAATTAGGCCCATTATAGAAAACTTATTGGGAGTTCTTCTAAGCCTGGAATCATAAAAATCCAACGTCACCACTAACTCAAAGCTTTCAAAATAAAATTTTTATTTTGAAAGTTTTGGTACCTTTTGTTTTAAAATATCTCATCCAATGAGTTGTTCAGATTTGCCTGGGGTCAAAACTTGTCACCCCATCTCAGAGTAGAAATCTCCAGCTTCTTGAGCCATGCTAAACTTACAACTTTAGATTTGCCATTGCAGTCAGATTTAACGTTTTGGTGTAAAAAGTTATATATCCTAGCTGCTCTACATAACAATTGGTGTCTTCATCTTGTATAAATCCAAATTGGTGCCAGAGTCTTAATCTAGGGGAAACTATATATCATATTAAGTTTAAGCTTGGTGGATGAGAGTTCAAAAGAGTCATTTATGAATGAAGACAAAAAATATTTAATTGAAGCATAGAAAAAAAATGCTCTTGAGACTGCAAAGATTGTTGACTTCAGTGTGGATCTTTTGATTGATATTATAGATGGGTGTTTATTGTTTTTACATTGTTTAATGCTTTTGTCATTTTGTAGCGCTTTCATATTTACATGCATTATAAATACATTATTGTTAAAATCTAGAACTAGAAAATCTCACAGAAAATTTATGCAAGATTGAAAGTCTGAAATTTCCTTCAAAGACAAAGTCGTTTTTCTCCCTAACAGTGCTTCATAATACATTCAGTCATTCACCCATTCAAGCTACTGCATTGTAGCTGTCTATAACTGAAATGGCAGTGACATAATTATTCAAGTGTAAAAAACTATTTGGTAAAAAAAAAAAAAAAAGGTTATTTAAATAGCTGAGTGATTATTTGATCACATCATTAGAATTAGTTTATAAAAAGCAAATACAATATACAGTGATGTGTAAATTCTGGTTTTCTGAAGAAAACATTAAACTGAGTGAAAAAAACAAACAAAACAAAAACAAACAAACATCAAATTAACAAAATAAATTCAGCCAGAAGAAAACACATTTTCAAATCTCGTTTTAGACATAAAGCTTTTGAAACCAGTACTAACCAAATGTAATGTGTACAGCGTCAGGGTGGCGCAAAGTACATATTGGTAAGATTGCCTCTAAAAGTAATGCTAAAATTAATAATAAAAATAGCATTCAGTTAAACCGCTTTATTTTTTTATATCAGACCTTTCCAAAGATAAGAAATGTTTCCTTGTTCCTGTTTTCAGTATGGTTTTTCATATCTTACATTCATTTTCAGTGTAAAAAACACTGAGGTTGCTGTAAATAACAGTCCATTGCAAACCTGAACATAGCTTTTAGCTTAATTAATAACAAATTAATATTTTTTGCATTAACTGCCATGACAGTTTTGAGATTAAAAAGATGGCATGTGGAGGTTGCATTGTTTGTCCCTTTCAGAATAGCTGTTATCATAAGTATCCAAGAATAATTAATCTGAGTTATAAATGACGCTACAGAAGAGAGTTATTTACTGCATTTAAGATATCTGCCAATAAACCATCCATCCCATCCATCCATTATCTAACACATTTATCCTTACAGGGTTGCGAAGGAGCCTTACGCCTATCTAAATCAGTCAACCGGCAAGAGGGAGGAGACACCAGTCCATCGCAGGGCAACAATACTAAACTATTCAGCCTCAATTCAAAACGTGAGCCACAACTGCCAGACAAAAAAGATAGTTACAGCTGACATATATTTATGTTATTATTTAACTTAAAAAAATAACATAGTTCTGAATCTTCCAAAACTGACCATGGCTGTCGACTTGTTTACCTTTTTCTCCATTCCCATGCATTTCTCTCTGCAACAGACTCATGCAAATTCAAACAGAACATGATCATTATTAATGCAAATGCTTTACCACCACTCAGACTTGAACAAATTCAAAAATCGTGAATTATTGAACTGTGTTTCTAAACTTAGGGTTTAAAAAAGCCTTTCCTCATTGAGAATGCAGTTTGAAATACAAGGTTTCATCTTTCAGGTTTCACTGAATAATGAAAGGGGAATAACTGCAAGAAATGTCAGAAATGACTGCCTTAAGGAAAAATGTAGCCAGACAAAAAAAGGACAGCATGTGATGTACAACATAAATAAACTATAATTATATGAGAGAAGGCTTTTAAAAGTTTAAATTTATTTTAATGATGTTGAGAAAAATACAGGAAAGTACTCAGTATTCATGTGTAAAATAGTCAATAAATCAAGTGAGACAGCAAATAAAATTTTATGTATTTCTTTAACATTGTAATATCTTGTCCTGTGCAATGAATTGTCTAAATATAGTGTAAGCATTTCTCCAACACAATACATATTTATACAATTAAAAAGAAGGTGCTTTTCGGGTTGTAATAGTTTACATCTTAATCTCCTAATGAAATCAATAAATCATTAAAATAATCCTTATGTCATATTTTAGAATATACTCGAGGGAAGGGTCATTGTTCTCTTCATTGGGGTCTGGATATAATCTCTTTAAAACTTTATTTGATATAATTATATATATATTTTTAGATATTAAAATAGTGTATACACAAGGCAAGATTTTATTCACAGCAGTTCACATTGGTTGGTAAACTCACGTCTCTTATGTATGGCTTAAAAATCAACAATCAGAACACAGCAACAGCTTTTTTGTTGAGCAGTGAATTTAGTGAGATAGTTAGCGTGTTTATAACAACAGACATGGTGGCAGAGTAATGTATCAATGCGCTCACACTTTGGTCACCGGGAGAGCCTCCCGCGGCTCCCTCAGCAGCTTTTAGCAGACACACGTAGTTCTTGATGACCTCATTCACCTTGGCCACCACCTCCCTGCGTTCGCTTTCGGTGCTCAGGACCTCCACCAGAGACATGCAGGCTTGCGCTAAGCAGCACAATGTGTGGAAGCTGTGCGTCAGGGTGAGCAGCAGCTCCTCCGGGCTGCTGTACTCCGTGGACATCTGACTGCAGGCACTGTTCAGCACTTTGGCCTGCAGCAGCAGAAGCTGGGACAGCGTCTCCATGTCGGTCTCACCTATCTCAGGTATGTCACCGCTGGACCTGTGTCTGACACTGCAGTGCAACACGCTAATCATCTCTAAGGCATCCTTCCGTGCAAGTGCAAACCCTGTATGAAGGCTGTATGTTTTTCCCTTCATTGAGTGTACATGATCGAGTCTGTCATTGAGACTCATCTCGGTCACAGACGTATCAGTCTGTTCAGCCTTGTGGCCTGCTTTCTGGACTGTTTTCCCCTTGCGACTAGATGAAGTCGGGCTACTAGAGAGCAGAACTTGTGAAGACATCTCTGTATCTTCATAACTACCTTGAGTAATTGGCTTTCTCCTGAGGAAGCAGTGACTAAATGGCCCGTGACACCTCCATGTTCCATCTGGCCTTGGAGCTATTGACTCTGACGGCAGCAGTAAGACTCCGGTTAGCGGCCTTCTCTTTGCTGAATCGGAGCTGACTGAACCCTGGGACAAGCTTTTGGGTAGGGTTTTCGCAGAGAGTGCCCTCTTCACTTTTGGGGAATCTTGGGACTGCAGATTCTGACCTACAGTCTTTCCAGTGAGCGTGACTTTTGTCCTTTCCTTAAGTGCTTCTATGCTCCTGGAACCTGGCATTAAGGTGCTCCAGCTCCTTCTGAGCATCTGAACCCTGTGCGGCTTCCTGAGGCTTCTTGTTGGGTCACATGAAGACGGGTCAGGCTCAGGGCTGGCCAGTGTTACCTCACTAGACGTCGTGCTACTTCGTAATGATGAAGGTGATATGATGGTGGAGGTGGTACTGGTCTTGTTACAGAGAGATAAAGATGAGTCTTTCCCAGCCTTCTTCAGCTGTGTGCAAGCTACACTAGGGGTATTAGGAAAAACAGAAAGAACTGTTAAGTATCTCCCTGCAGCAATCAAGTATTTATTTTATTTTATTTTTTTTTTAATGTGCATGATTAGGTTATTGTAGACAGAATATAAAGTAAGGATGTACTATCATTCTTATACCAGAGGCTTATCAAAACAACATGCACTCACCAGCCACTTTTAGTAGATACACATGCTCAATGGTTTGCCAACAACAACAGAAAATGTGTCAAAAACATGGAAAGAACCAGTGGCTGTTGTCCTTCTTTTATTTTTTAATGTCTTAAAAATACGAAGTTTACACAACAAATGAGTGCTATCTCTTTAAACAATGAGGGCGTGAGCTCAGGTTATGAAGTCATGGCTCTGGTTTCTTGATTAATCTAATGACAAATTCAAAATAAATCAGCCACAATATAAAGAAGAGAACTGTAAATCTCCGGTTCATCATTGGGAACATTTTCCAGATGCTTGAAAATGTGCCGCTTTTATTTGTTAAACAGATACTATATCATGGGAATGTCCAAACATCATACTGCTCAGGAAGGAGAAGTATGATGCAGCTCTGTGTTCCAGAAATTAACTTGTTTTGGTCCGAAATCCACAAATTAATCGCAGAGCAAAATCCAAAGACCTTGTGAAGATGCTGACTGAATTGGGTACAAAGTGGCTTGAGTACAACAAAGTTTATGTTTTGTCATGTCCATACCAAAGCTCTGATCTCAGTCCTTTAGGGAATTTGTGGGCAAATATGAAAAAATGTGTGAGAGCAACACAGCCTATAAACCTGTTCTAGTTCTGTCAGGAATAAAGGGCCACAACTCCGGAAAACTATTGTGGAAGTGTGTGGAAGGAAACCCACAGTGCTTGACCCAAGTCGTACAATTAAAAGACAATGCAACAACATATTGAGTATATATATGTACTGAAAACATCTGATTTTGAATAAATTAAATAAATCACAGATAGGTTCTTTCTCTCATTATTGTAGAATTTAACAAATAGAAATAATTTTGGTAATTCTAATTAACCTAAACCAAAAGAAGTTAGTCCAATTTAATTTCAGACAATGAGAAAAAAGGTGTGTGTTTTTGTCCATTAATTAAACTTTCATATTGCAGTTTACCTTAGTACCATTCTGACCACAGCATACCCATTTTCTAGTGGCTACTTCTCAAACTGGTTTCTTGTCACAACAGTGAATTTACTGTTGTCTATTAGCCTTCAAAGTTAACATATCCCAGTCCCATCAGCACTCTGTGACAGCAGAGTCACAGATCTGTGAGACGCACATCAGTATGAAGCAAAAATTATTGAAGCATGTTCCCCAAACCCTGTTCAATCTATACATTGCAAAAATAAGTCAGTTCTAAAGGCAGATATTTGTTAAACCTGACACCAGTAAAGTTAGTCTAAAGTGGCTGGTAAGAGTACATTTTCTCATCTTCACCAATGATAATCAACATAAGACATTTTTCCTTCAAGAAACAAACAAACAAAAAAAAACTAAAAAAGCATAAGGTACTCTTTTCTGAGACATGATCGAAACATGCAAGTAAGAGCTATTTCAAACTAGCAATAAACATTTAGGTGGGGTTCTCAAGTTTTATGCACTCAGGCAGTCTGCACTTCTCACATAGTTTCATGTCACACATTTGTTGTCACATGAACTGAGGCACAAGTTTTACACCTAAAGATGTTGTAGCACAGTGGTGCCCAAAGTTGGTTCTCGAGGGCCGGCATCCTACATGTTTTAGTTCTCTCCCTGGTTTAACAGACCTGGATCAAATAATGGCTCGTTAGAAGGCCTAAGAAGAACATTGACCTGCTGAAATGGTTGTTACTCCCACCAGGGAGAGAACTATAAAATACAGGATGCCGGCCCTCGAGGACCGACTTTAGGCACCCCTGTATAAAAACAGCTTTACACTAGTATCTCCTTTGTGGAACAAATTGCCAATAACTAAATCATTATAATTTATATGCAGCCTACAACTCTAAGCGATTAAAGTCTTATTAGCTTATTAAATCAGAAAATAAGGCCAAGTCGATTTCCATTTCATTTACTTCAAGCATATGTTGTGCCAAGGTCAAACTTCATCATAGCAGACAGATCATCTGCATAGTGTAGCATGAGATCAAGTAAAAGTGTTAATTGATTATTACAACATTTTCATGGCATTTATGCAAATATCGTAAATGTGGAAAATGTATGCAGTAAATATTGTATTTCTAAATTGTTCTCATACCATATACCTCTTTCCTGTCTAGAAAGTTCATGGTGCAGATGGATAACATATTTGGTGTGGTACAGTTTCAGATATAGATAGTAGGGAATTTAATGTTATTTATTTGTTTATAAGCCATAGAAATGTAACAATGTGTATCTATAATGCTGTCAAATAGCTTCCAATTGTTGATTCCTTTTTGGACACTGTGTTGAGTAGATATCATTTGTTTTAATGAAGCTTAGCTCACTAAGGCCAGAATATATGGTTTCTGCTCTCTCTCGGTCTTTCAAATGTTCCTCAAGTAAAAGAAAATGTAGATCCTCAGAAAGCCTTCCACAACAGGTTAGAATAATATCTCCTGAATAGTTTCTGAAAAAAACAAAGTTCTGGTAACTTTTTTTCAAAAACCAAAGATAATATTTAATCTAAATGCCAAGGCCAGTATTTAATAGAACCCCCCGCCTCCCCAAAAAACTTTTGATACCAGTGTGAGAATGGAATGCTTGGTGAATGCGTTTTTATTTCCTTTAATTATGTTTTTCTACAGAAACAAAGTAGAGATGTCCCCTAGTGTTTTTGTCTTACCTGTGGTTTCTTTTATCTTGGGCATTTTGTGACTGCTCCCAAACCCTGGCTCAGCACTGGTCGCTGCATGGATTTTTCTCATCAGGGTGGGGTCCACTGTGTGCCCCGCTTTCCCCTGCACTGTGGGTCCGTAGGCCTTCTCCTCAGCCCCAGCTGCATAGCTCATCCCCTTTAGCGAAGACTCTGATAGCACATGCATACTGTCTGTGGCACAAAGGGGAGAGTCCATTGGAGTGACACAACTGCTGCTGCCGGTGCTACAACCCGCATCTATTGACGAGCACTGTGAGCTCTGCAGAGAATGAACGCCTTCACTTTGTATCGATGACATGCGCTTGCTGACGTGGTATTCATATGTCCGTGTGAC